GATCTGGTGTTGCAAGTGTTTGTTCAGCTGTTTCAGGAAAGCAAAATGTGGAAGAAAATAATGCTGTTTTCCCCTCTGTTCCTCTTTGCATAGAAAATTGCAAAATCTCTTTCTGCCCTTTCTTTTTAAGACCACAGTATGTGTTTTTGCAATGGCAATGAATTTTGTAAATCTGGAATCTCCATAGAGCTTTTAAAGAGCTTTCCTACTTGAACAATGGGATGTTTATTCCTTTGGATATCATCTTAACTAACAATCTCTCTGTAGACAATACACCAGCCTTTATTTAATTTAGTTTATATTTACCGTTATATAATTTCACTTGCGTATCTTTTTGTGTTTGTAGGTTTCCTGGTACAATTTGACTAAAATTAATTCATTGAATAATGCCTGCACAGATTCAGTCATATGGCTGTTGTTTTTTTAATTTTTGTTGTTGCTGTTTTCTTCCTTCCCTCTAGATTGTGCCAGGCTATTGCTCCACTGGTTTGCAAGCAATTGGTCAGGAAAGCTGGATTCTAGGAGATGTGTTCATAAGAGAATACTACACCATTTTTGACAGAGGCAACAATCAAGTTGGGATGGCAAAGGCAATCTAAGAAAAAAAGTCTGCTTTTTACAACAGTGAATACTGTATCTGTTTAATCAACACATCCAGCTGTATTTTAATTTCTCAGCAACGTATCGTATTAACACTAGTCCTATACTTTTAAAAACAATAACTGATCTATTACAAGATATTTCACAAATGAAAGCACTATTCAGGTGTTTCTGATTACCACTGCATGAAAAAAATAAATACATAAATAATATCTTGTTCCAAAGTGTGTTCTTTGCACATATTCAAGTCATCCTGCATGAGCTGTGATAAAATATATTAATTAGATTCCTAGACTGACAGAAAACAGTCTCCAGGTAGAGATTATACTTTTATATCGGTCATAACTACCTGCCAACTGACCCTTTGAAAGGATTGTGTTCCTTGTTAGATAGAAGAGACTGGTCTTTGACATAAAACATTTCTTTACCAAGTTCCATGTGTGGCATTGCCATATATTAAAAAAAATATAGGATTCAGGATCTCAAGGCATAAATCAGGAAATAGGATCTGTGCATATGCTTATTTATATTTATAAATGCATATTTGTGGTTCTTCCTCACATCTAGAGAAATGTGCCTTAAGTAGAGAAGAAAGTACTATGTTGTTCTAAAAAGCACTGGTCTCAGTGCTTTAGAGCACTTTAGGAATCCAATGAATGCTGCAACTGACCCACATTGTAACTTATGGTAGATTCAGGGTAACAATCAGCAAAATCTCTGATGTTTCATTGGGGTTATTTATGTGTGGAAAAATGAATTACTAATCACTTTCCAGAAAGCATGACTAACCAGGGTTGGGGAACTTCAAAGATGATCTGACTTTTCTTTGCATTCAGCTAGGAGATTATCTGGAACTGGTTTGGTTGGGGTAGTTCACAGTCAGCGTTGATTTATTGTGTTTGTTTGTCAGGAGAATAGTTGCCCCTCCATTTGCTGAATGATTTGAAGGCTGATATGACAAAATAGCCTGTGTTTTTCAAACGGCTGTATTGGAAAGCACAGGGTAAGCTGCCTGTAAGCCTTCACTGTTTCTTCTTGTCTTCCTTTTCATGTTAAACTGCCTGCCTCAGCAGTCCCATTGTCTATCTTCACTGCTGCTTGCCCAATTATTTCTTCAGCATAGCAGCACCTGCTGGTCTTCAATCTATAGTCTGGCAGCAATCCACCTATGGAAGGGGTAGTGGTTGAGGGGAGAATACTTGGGAAACTGAAACATGCCTTCTTGAGAAACTGCTTCAAGGTCACCCAGGTAGAGGGAGGAGGAGGAGGCATACCAGAGCACACCTGAACTGACCTTTAGGAAAACAGCTTGCAAGATTTTAACTGGATTCTTTAATTGGGGTGGGGAATGAAAACCAATCAAGGCAGGGGAACGGTTTGGGATTTTGGTGCACAAATCTCAGTTCTGGCTATGCATTACTGCAATCCACTTGATCTTTAATAAAACTATAGCTTTCTCAACAAATGGAGTCAAGGATTATTTTTATTTGGATATTAAGAGGGGGCAGCCTGACACTGACATTGAATATTGTGTTAAAATACTGCTCCAGCTGGTGTTGGCTTTGCTAAGGGAGCTCTTTGGGAAATCTTTTTTTCCCCAATGAAAATAATGTTTTGGGTGATCTGGGATGTTCGCCATCCTACATTGCAGCCCTTTAACCCAGAGCAAGAAGTTGAAAAAACAATTGGCATCTAGTTAGTCTCATGGAGAGAACTTTAAAAAAATAACACTAAAAAGATAAGGTATCCATCTCTCTGACAGCCACAACAAAAATGGTAATTGAGTGCAAAGTTTTAAGTAGATGTTATCAGACCTCTGGTTTTTTTTCTTCTCCATGCAGAAAGACTTATGAAAAATCCACAGAAGATTGAAAACACGTTTTTTGTGTTAAAACCCATCTTAGCTGGCTTCATTGTCAGGCTAATAACAAGATGAACACTCCAGTGTCAGGAATGTCCTTGACAAATAATAAGTGGGGTATCTTCATACCTTAAAAAGCAGGGCATGACTACAAATCCCTTGAAAAATTGCATTTGATTGAAGACAAAGCCAATTCATTTCCTGCCCAAATCTCTTTGAACCAAATAAACTTAGCTCATGTGAAAGAAGTGGTAGACCACCAAAAAAGCATTTATACAGGCAATCTTACATCCTATAGAGATGGTTTCAGTTTTTTTTTAAAGTTCAGAAAAAATTAAGGCTGTCAATTAATGCTACTGATGGAGGCTGTTTCTCATATAGCTTAAGTTGCCAAAAGCTGGGGAATTGGTTTAGCTCTGATTTTTTTTGGGGGGGGATTAGTGGGGTCATCTTTTGACATTTGTTGCAGGAATGTCTGACTTCTGATCAAGGAGAATAGATAATGATATTCACAGAAGAGATTGCACCAAGTGAAAGGAGAAAGTTCTTTCTTCATCTTCAACTCTCATGAACTCAATCTGCATAGAAATTAATTGGTGGGAGGACACTTATGGACATCAGTGAAAATTTAGAGCTCAGGAAAAAATAGACCCAGAGCTACAGCCCCAGGTTTAGCAACATCTTGAGAGACTGCCTACTGCCAATTACCTCCACTAGGCCAATAAGATCCCATAGATTAGGCCTCCTCCGAATTCCATCAGCC